AATCTCTACCTGCACTGCAGACTGACCCGCAGCAAAAGGTATTGCCAATCCCACAGGCATCATTCCTTTAACACATATTCTTGCAAACATCCCTATTTGGAAGATGTTTTTCTTACACCAGCCCTCTACAACAATCTTCTTGTAACTTTTCAACTTGTCACCAGGTTTATAAAACTTTAAAGCGAGTGCCATAACAAACTGAAACAATGTTATTGCAGATGTAGGAGAGCATCTTGGGATGAATAAATTATAGGAGCCACAAAGACATCACAACTGCAACGGCTGGATGCTCCCAGCTGCCTGAGGTGTGCAGGCACATGGGAAGGAGCAGGTTTAGGACTGCACAGATCATAGGGTAGGGAAGCTGAAGTGTTACGAAGTGTAACCAACTCTTATTTCAAGTGCAGATCAAACTTCTGGTTATTTTCCTTATTGAAACAGCTCATTAATGCTTGAGGAGAGTCTGAACTCTCTGGTACTAGAAAAATGTGTCTCCAGAGGTAACTTAGAGAAAGAGAGAGGCTACAGTTGGGAATATTAGCTTCTAGTCCCACCATGCAGCAAGCACAATATATCCTGGGAAAGCTGGTCCTCAGCTGTCTGTTGTAAGGACATGCAAGACTCAAGGAAGACTTCCAGTCCTTCTGCAGCCATTGGTTCTAGATTGCATCAAAATTGGATCCAGCAAAGCAGGTTGGCTGAACCAGACCATTAAGCTGATGGTGACTCTGGGCAGCATTCAGGACACGTAGCACAAGGACAGAAATCTGCAGTGACCTGATCTCCACACTTGTCAGTGCTCTTCATTTTCCTGGGTCAGAAGAACTGCCAGACTCCTCAATAACTTGGGTATCATACTAAGAGGTCTGAACATAGCATTGTCCAAGTACCACCACACACCAACAAGCAGCTGTGAACACAAGCATGATGTTCCATACTTTCTGCAATTCAACCAGTTGTAGCAAAACAGCATTTACCAGGTAACTTATCCAGCCTGTTTCTCCTCTGAGAACTAGGAGATGCCATCCTTCCATTCTTTGCAGATCATCTTAGCTGCTGAACATCATGATGAAGACATTTCTCCTTTCAGCCTGCCTTTAAATCCCCAACTTGCAAATTCATATAGGATGTGAAAAGACTCCAGCTAGGCCTTTCATCTTCATGGATCAGCACTTCCCAGAGGGTCTGTCAGTCAAACGTGCCCTCCTCAATACCTATTTGGCCTGGCCCCTGGCATCCTTTCCCAGGCATTTCAATTGATGTCACTGATCTTGGCTCAGCAAATAATCCTTCTAATCACTGACAAGAACAGAGGCTGCAGCTCAGCGTTGCTTAGCAAGGCTAAGAGGAGTACACAGTAATAAAGCATTACTCTAGCAAGTGAGCTTGAAAATACAGCTGACCACACACAGGCAGCAACTGTGATGAACAAGAAGGTGCCATTTTAAAAATTAAGGATGGTGGGTTTGATCCCTTATAATTGGGAGATCATTACAAAGCCAACAGTGTACCTATGAACATCCTGCACCCTGGCATGGCTCCATCTTCTGAGCTGCACCATGGCACAGTATCTGGAGACAGCCCCCAGGGAGCTGGAGATGCATCACCTTTGTATAGCAAGGCACCAGGAGACAAATACAGGCACCTGCAAAATATCTTGTTTATCAGAGTGCCTTGGAACTTCCAGCCTAGACATAACTCTTGTCTTTGCAGAGACAAGAGTATCCTCCAGAATTGAAATGTCACCACATCATCATTTTAAGAATACAGCTCCCATGGGAGTGAAGGCAGGGAGTGCTTCTTAGATCATGGGTGGAGCTGTATTCCTCCACAGCACCATATCCAGCTGGACTCCTGTGGAAAACAACTTTCTGAATCATGCAATGGCTAGTAACCAACAGCACTTCTTCCTCACCATCACACAGTCAGCAGATGCCAAGAGTCCCAGAGAAATGTATGGGAGAGCTGGGGGCTCTCTTCAGCCTGCCCAGCACCAGGGCCATTGTTCCCAAAAGGATGTCTGAGGATTAATTAATTATCCTACAAGGGGCAGTAAGTAATAACACTCCTTGTGGAACAATAGAAGCTATTTGGTTGCCATAACAACCCAGCTTCACTTGTGTGCCTTTAATGTATTCACAGCACAGTTCCTTTCCCAATCACACATGATGCCAAAAAAATGCCTTGTTTTTCTTGCCAGTATCCATGTCCAGAGCAGGGGTAAGACACAGCCCTTTCCCTGGGGCATCTGTCACACAGAAGAAAGATGCACATAAAATCCCTTCAGCCTGGAAACTTGCATCACCTAAGAACTTTTCTGTTCCCTAAATGTTTGTTATTTAAGAGGATTCTCATTTTTTAACCCCTTCTTTGAAGCTGCCTCACCATGGTGCTCCTAGATCTTAATCTTGGATAGGTTCCCACATACTTGGTCACGTCCTCCCCAACTCCCCCCTAACATATGTAGGAAGGATGGGCAGGAGATGATGCTAGGAGGGATAATCAACATTCCAGAAATCAAATGCCTTTGCACTGTCAACAGGAGTGTGGCATGGACTGTGCCCAACCTTATTACAGCCATACAATAACCACCAAAACACTCAATGTCCATCAATAATTCTGCAAAATACAGAGCAGCATGTGGGTGAAGCTCCATGCCAGGCAACCTGCTCTCCCATGCACCTCACAGAGATGGCTATTTCTCCCCAGCATTTGTTCCAGACATCCTGTGGCAGAGGGATGCAGGTTTTCACTGGAGAGGGGAGATAATTGTATTCACATGACAAGGGTTGAAAAGTGTTGCTAAGAAAATGGCTACTAGCCTAGGGCACAGCAGGCCTGGCCACATGCTCCAACAGGTGTATGACAAAGCACTTGTTCAGCTTTTATATTTCATGGACACACCTCCAGCAGGAGGCTCATCCTGAAACAGCCTCTGCAGTGCTCAGCCATCTTCTCTGGTCTACAGAGGAAGACCAGGGCAGTTGCTACAGGTAAGCAGAGAACCAAATCCCTCACTCCCTCCTAGTTACATTTGTGTAAGCTGGGATCTTCAGCTACAGGCCCACACCCCACATCATTGATGCTGGCTCCAGTAGAGGGTGACAGCTGGTTCTCCACACAGGAAAACTCATGTCCAAGTTGAGATGGGGGAAGGAGATGACTCAAAGTTATGCTTTGCCCTGACAGGCATGATAGATGGAACTAGGTTAAGCCATCTGGCTCTTCTATGTTGAGACAAACCTCAAGCACAGCTACCCAATGCAATGGGAACATTGATCTGTACCTGAAATTCTGGTTGTACACACTGCCCAGGGTCACTGTGACTAGACTGAGGTGTAACACGTCGTGCTGATAATTACAGCACCGGGGGGATAATAGCAGAGAGTCTGCAAAAGAAACTGTTCCATATGAGAACCTGAAGGGTCACTGTTAGCAATTCACCCTGGGTCACACCAACATATACATGATTTTCAAGCAGTTTGGAAACTAAAAAGACAAGTTTGTCTTGCTTCCCCTCCTCCCTCACCACTCCCTGCCCCACGCAACAGCAGAATAGTTGTTGGGCCAGAGAAACAGGGCAGGAGAGTCCAGAAACAGATAAATAGGACAGGAGCACTGGGAGACCAAAGTTTTAATTGACTTGAACAGCAAAAGCTCTAAACTGGCCTAGGATTCTCTTGCATGTGTCAGAACCCAGGGAACAGGACAGCTGCTGCCAGGAGGTCTCTACCAGCCTTCCACTCCACTCACACTCTTGGAAAGCAGATTGGAGGAAAAGTCTCTGGACAGAAGGGGGCAAGGCAAGGTTAGTCAAGGATCAATGCAATATGTGTCTTCTGCTGGGTGCTAAGGGCTTCTGAGAGACAGATAACACAGGCCTGGATGTGCACCCAAACGATGAACACAATAACTTAAATTCCACCCCAAACCATAGCTATTTAAACAGGTATTTTTTTCTTCTCAGTGCTATGAAAAGACCCAAGTCTAGCAGTGCCACCCAAAACAAGATCTCCATTAGATGCCTCTATTTCCAGTACAGATCTCCAAAGAAATGTCAATTAACACCAGCAAGCACAAAAAACCACCATCTGATTTTCAACTTGGCAAGCACAGGCTGATTGTAAAGCCACCACTGCCCTTGTGTCAACCAAAAACCACAACTCACATTTACTCTTTTAAGGGGTCAGCTTTAATGGCTTAAAGGTGTGTTTGCAACCAGTACAGAAGGATAAGGAGTGAGAGTCTGCCCTGAATAAGATGTCACTAGCTCCAGAGATGTCATCAGAGTTCCTCCATCCACATGTTCACAAGTAACACCAGGGATACTTCAGTGAATTTAGCCCACATTAGGCAGTGAACTGCAGGCTTTCAGCTTGTCCACCAGCTGCAGTAGGTGTGTGTCCCATAGAGGTCCCACATGCCAGTCCTGTTTTAGAAATACTGTTTCAATGAGTTCAGATTGTTTCAGCCTGGGGCTGAGGTTGTGGGGACAAATGACAGGCAGTCCCAGTAACACAGGCCATTCAGTGGGTGAAAGGAACAAGGCTCAAACTGAAATCAGGAGGCTGAGAAAAAAAATAAATTGGAAAAAACCCCAAACACCTCCTTTCCTACAGCCCAGTTAAGTGCTTGATTTTTTTTCATCACACTACACATGGAGAAATCATCCTTGAATTCCTTACTCTGTAGCGAGGAAGAATTCCATCTTACAACAGAGTTCCCATCACCCTTCAAAATTCTCTGTCCAAAGCAGAAGGAAAAAGTACTTCTGCAGCACCAGAAAGATGTCATTCTCTCTCCAACAACTTCCCAGCTGCAAGGAAGATCTGTAGTACTTCAGTGAAGGAAGAAGGGGTGTAACATTCCCTGCTTTTCAGAAGTGCACCCTGAGATCTCAAGTGGCTCCAAGAAGCCACTACCTTGGCAGCACACCTCCAGCAGGGAATGGAAGACCCTTTTATCAAGCTTTTTTTTTTTTCCTCTCTTTCCAAGCTTACCATGTTGACTTCAGAGATCTGGTCAATGCTGGAGATATGGATGCTCATTCCCACTGTGACAGGGTTACCTGAAACAAAAATGGATTGGGTTAGGACTATATTCATGTCCTCCTCCCTTATCAGTTATTAAGGAATTGCCTAGAAATGCATGAATATTATTTGAAGCAGCCTCACATACCCCAAGCATCAAGGTTTTCCAAGTCACATGCTCAAATGATTAGAGAAGACTACTCTAACTCCCAGCCTTACAGACTCACCCCTAGGAGTAGTGCAGCCTAAGCTTGATTCTTTAATTCCTGGAAGTTAATTACCCCCTAGTTATACAATTATCTCTGGTTATTCCAAATAATGCCTTCAGAGACCATCAGTGTGCTCCCAGTGGGCTTGCATAAGGTGTTACTGATTGACCATTTGAAGAACATAGCAATCAAGCCCATGCAACACAGGGGCAGGAAAGACACTCCAGCTCACTCCTCCATCACTCTGGCAGCTCTGAGTGTTCAGTCTGAAAACCCCATGTGAATTTTAATACCCAAGATACCAGACAGGTTCAGGGATCAGATCCATGAAGTGACAAAGCAGCACTCAGTGTTTTTTAAGAGCAGAGAAGCATTTGGGTTAGAGAAGAGATTCCCCATTTTGCCATGGGTATTAGGGCACATGTCACCCCACATCCTCTTGCCTGCAGCCACAGAGCTGGGGCAGACAACTGCAACCAGGTTTGCTGGGAAATTCAGATATTGCCTTACCCAGTAACCAGGCTACCCTCAGGCCACAATAAGTGCCAGTGGCTGCAACATGCAAGATGAGCTTGTGAAGAAACACCAGACATGGGCAGTCACAGCCAGACCCATTCTTCTCTCTTGTCCAAGTGTGGCAAGAGCTGTATTACCATTTCCCACAAACCTCTAGAGTCAGGGCAGAAACCAGCCATTTCAGTCCCTTCTTCCAGGTGTGTGGGCATCCCAACTAGACCCAGACTCATACCTGGTTCTACTCAAACCCACAGTTCCCACAGCCAGGCAACAGCACATCTCTTTCAGTGGAGTTTAAGCCACATGAAACCATTTGCAGAGAAACACACATCCACTACCAAAACCAGCAAAAAAACCCACAACTCCTGTATCTTGAGATAGAGTTTCTGATTGCTGCCCCTCTCCTGCCATGTCCTCAGCCCCAAAGCCAGAGGACAAATCTAAAGTCACCACAAGTAAAGCCTCTCTTCTCACACATATAAGGTGAAAAATGATTCCTTGCAATGCAGTACTGGAAACACAACTGGCAAGCAGTTGTGCCACTCAAGGTATTAACTCTTCCATGGACTCATTAGTAGATCTAAGTGCTGAAATATTTACAGATAATCATTAAATTACTTAGTAATTAGGAGATCGGGGGAGAGGGGAGAACTACACAACTAGAAACTAACTGATTTTTTAATTATGTATCACCAGAAATAGGGAAATAGTGTCATTAGGGCTGCCTTGTGATTGGGGGCACTGTTAACCAAGACCCTCTGCTGCAAATTAAGCAGCATTATTCTTTAATGGAATATGAACAAGACTGAAAACACCAGAATCAACAACTGTAATTAGGCCCTGCTATGCAAATCTCTTTAAAGTGCTCCTCTCCAGCACTTCTGGTTCACTCTCAGGGGTGCCCAGGACACCTTGCAGACCTCTGGAAATCCCTCCATGGGGCACACCCCTAGGAACATCTTTGCTGGACTGCTGCATTTATCTTTCACAAGGGACCCAAGTGGGAAAATAACCAAGAGTCACTTTGAGGGGAGCTGATTCTCCCGCATCCTCCCTTGTGCCAGAGGCTGAAAGTGGCACAGGAAAGCTTTTAAGGAAGTCTTACCTCGGTAGTTTGTCTTCTTCTCTGAAATCAGGGTCTTGTGATAGAAGCCATAATATGAGGAAGTCACCATTGCCCTGAGGCACTTAGAGACTAATTGGTTAGAGGAGGGGAGCTGGGAGCCCTGCAGGGCTGCAGCAGTGCTGGGGAGGAGCCAGCTCCTGCCTCCTCAGCCTTTCTGCCATGCAGTGTTGTTTCCTCCAAGAGCTGCCCAACTGCCTGCTCTGCTACCAGTCTGTCACCACTGGCACTGGTGTCACTGTGGTTACGTGTCCCTTCCTTCCTCAGTGCAAAAAGTTGTTCTTCCCCCCTCTGCTGTGTGGGAGACCCCCTGAAACCACTGGGCTGGGTGGTTGGAGCAGGGGAGAGCTGACAATGGTGATACACAAATATTTGCCAAATCCAAAGTCTATCCAATCTAATCTATCTGTCTAGACATTTGTGCTGTGTTCATCACCATGGTATCCGAGTGCCTGAGGTCATGCAGTGACTCAGTGTCAGAGCTGTGGATAAGATCCAGACCTCCTGACTCCCAGTTCCAAGAGGAACGGACACTGGAGTGGAGATGAGCCAGGCTGCTCCCCAGCAGGCTGGGCTCAGCTGCACCCAGCTCCCGTGCACAGTCAGCAATGTTCCTCTTGGCCACTCTGGGCACTGCCAAGACCTCACACCCCATCTATCATGGCAAGTGGGAGGTTTCACTGCCTGCTTGCAAACCCTGGGGCGTGTGCCCATCAACCCACAGGCAGCATGTGATTGCCATACAAAACACCAAAGATGAAGGTGTGCGAAGTCCTGCCTTTACTGGACCTGCTCTTAGCTTGATCACAGAGAAGCCATTTCACCTTCTCCATCCCTGTTGTGAAGACTGGCTCACAGCTTCCTCAGGAAAGGGATGCAAGAACATGAACACAGCCAACAGGAAAAGCATGCCCTACCTCTTACTGCAGCCCGAGGAAAAACTAGACCTGCTGATGTCCAACATTCAGGCTGTAAGTAGTACACAAAACAAAGGACATCAATTCTGACAACGTTAATAGCTTTGGGCAAGAGGGAAACAAAAGTAGGGTATTTAGATTAGACAACGTCACCTGTAAATCTGTCCAAAAACCAGAATTCTGCATTTGTGGATCTAAGACAAGACGAAAGAAGCAAATGTGATATTACAGGTCCATGCTTTTATCTGTGCCTTGCCAATGGGTGCAAAAAATCTAGACTTTTTCCCATTAAAGAAACACCTTATGCCTCAAAAAGATTTGTAGGCAAGATCGTGAGTGAGGGGAGTGTGAGAAATTCTGCCACTTTCACCAGTGAACTGCATCCTCACACGTCCTGGTTTTTCTACCACCACTGGAAAAATCACTCACATTTTGTCCTCAAAGTAGTTTGATGCCTGTGAAAAATGTGCTCAGAAAGTTGGAAGGGAAGGAGACAAAGGAGTTATAATAAAACCTGTCCTTTTTTTTCTGCAAGTGATACTTGTCAAATATAAAAACAGTCAAGGTAGAGAACAAGTTGTGCTAATCTGTGATATTTTCTCAGCAACCAATTACTTTCACATTTTATTTTATAATGCCTAAAAGCCCCAGAATCTAGAGTCATGTTGCTACAGAAGAAATTCCTAGGGCACAATTGCAAAGGAAAAGTCATGTTTCCAAGCCTGTGTCCACCTGCCCTGTCACCTGCCAGAGGTGATAGCAGCCTGGATCAGGACATCCCTTCCAGCTCTTCCACTGCAGAAAGCAGTGAAGATAATAGCACAAAACTCAGTGTAAAAGGTCCCCCCAAGCAGTGGATGCAACTGCCCTGTACTAAGGTCTTCACTGTACTGGCTCTCTTCACTCCTTGTGAAGAAAGTTAAGAGTAGAGCAAGCCTGAGTTTCTCTGCCATCAGATCTTCAACTGCAATACAGATACAGCAAAAAAGACTCAAAAGCAGTGGGCAAATAAACAGACCTTACTTTATATTATCATCCACCGAAGACACCATTTTTATGAACTATAGCCAATGTTTAAAGGATGTTCATGCGTTTCTTCTGATCACGAGCTTGGCCATGATGGAAAAGCCAAGGCTTGCTGTTGCTAAGGGACAGGCATCAGCCCCAAACCTCCCTTTTTAGCCTAAGCTACAGGAACAAAGGCACTAACAAGGATCTTGGGAGGCTGCACAGCCCGTATTTTTCATGGAACCAGACCAGAGTTTCTTTAAACCACGGAGTTTCTTTAAAGTCACAGCCCTCTTGGACAATCACTTCCTGCAGTTCACTGCATTGAAGGCTTTTCCTAAATATCCAAACTAAGTCTTCTCTGCAGTGTAAACACAGGTTTGCCTCATCATTTACTCCAATGAGAATGAAAGAATCAATCAATCATCCTTCCTAAGCAACAGCTTTTATGTACTGAGAAACCATGACATCCCTCTCCCTCCCCACCAATACAGTCTTGCCTAATTTAAATGCACCTGATTTCTTCGACCTCTTCTCAGAGGTCATGTTTTCTAAAGCTCTGACAATTAGTGCTGCTCTCCTCTGGCATTTTGCCAATTTGCCTACATCTCTATTTTAAAGCACAGCATCCAGAAGCCAAACCACTGAAGCAACATTGACATGTCACCAGCACAGAGACACACAAAAAAGCCCCCCAAAATAAGCAAAAAAACCCTGCAACCTTCCACATACATCATTCCCCCAAAACCACAGAAGCCTCTCAAAATCCCCTGCACTCATCTTGGGAGCTGCTCGCTTCGTGTAGGAGGTTAGAGATTAGCTCTGGCCACCAGCTCAGGGTGCGTGCAGGCAGCGGGTGCACAGAGCTGTCTCTTTTGGGCAGGAGGGAAAATTGTTCAAGACAGCTTTGTGCACGAGCCCAGTGTTCCCTGCTTGCACCCTGCCTGTGGCATCACCAGTCTCTGAGATCCCTGCAGCAGCAGGAAAGCTGCTTTAAGGTCTTCTGCTGAGTAAACAAAGCTAACCAGAGAAAATCAGAGGTTTCAGCCACTAAACCTACATTTAGAACTACATCTTACCCTGCCATGGTAAATATCCACAGGCCTAAGAGTCCACCCATTCAAAACCTTGCTCCTCATCCCCAGCTCTCCAGGAGCCAGAGGACAGTAGTGGCACCAGAGGCCACAAAGAGCAAGTCCCAGGCCAGGTTGCCCTGCACTGACTGGCAGAACTCTTTCTGCAAATCCAGGGTCATACAGGCAGGC